AACTTTATTTCACATGATGTTAAAAAAGGTCGTTATAGGAAAAAAGTAAATGTAGTAAAATTCATGTCTTGGGTTAAATGTTTCATGTTTTTTCAATGCACAAACAAGATAAATGGACTGGTTCCTGTACAGTGCTTTTCTACTCTACACTCAAAGCACTTTATCTAAAAGCCATTCTTTCCCAAGGATGCTTTGGCATGCAGACTCGAGTGGCCAGGGATCGAACCACTAAACTAAACAATACTAAATAATTCAATTCAATTTTATTCATACAGTGGCACAACAGCAGTCACCTCAAGGTGCTTTATATTGTAAGGTAGACCCTACATAAAGAGAAAAACCCAACAATCATATGACCCACTATGAGCAAGCACTTTGGCAACAGTGGGAAGGAAAAACTCCCTTTTAACAGGAAGAAACCTCCAGTAGAACCAGGCTCAGGGAGGGGCGGGGCCGGTTGGGGAGAGAGAAGGAAGACAGAATAAAAGACAAGCTGTGTAAGAATAATGGCATTAATAATTATTAATTACATTATTAATTGACAACCGGGTTTTGATGCTCTCTGTAGACACCATACAGTCACATTTCTACCTCTACAGACTTTATATATAGTCTCACAGCACACACCCCCTACATACAAACATTGCCATACACACACATCCCAGCAGTGGGCCCAACTCCTAATGCGCTAACAAGCTCCCTCTCTCCTCCCCTCGCCTCCTCTCCTCCTCCAGCCTCCCTCCGTCTCAAGTGATCACAGGAGTCGAACACCGCCACAATGAGCGGCGCTGCGGGAGAGAAAAGGTCTGAAATGGGGAGAGAGAGAGAGAGAGAGAGCGACAGAAGAGGGGGAGAAAGAGCAGGAGGAAAGCACGAACACTTCACTCTCTCCACTCCTTTCAGCTACGCACAAGAAAATGAGTTTCTGACTCGACACAAAAGAGCCTCTTTATCCGCCCCCTCTCTCCATGTTTCTCCTGTCTGCCTTTCTCTGCTATGCTTTCTTTTTCTCCCTCACCAGCCTTCCTCCCCTCTTCCTCCTCTTATAATTTTCCCTCTTTCTTTCCCCTTCTCTCGCTGAAAGAGGGATATTTTTCTGCTAATGACTTAATAAGAGGAGCCATCTGAAATTCAATTACAGCAGATTTCATAGTTGCGACTGCCATTTGGATAGAGGGACAGAGGGATGGATGGAGGCAGAGATGTGCGAGCGCATTTCAACTCTATTTTCTATGACCTCTCAATGGTTTCTACTTTTTTTCTTTTTTTTTTTTTTAATACCAATAATAATAACTTTATTTCAGTACTGTGCTTCGTGCAGACCGGCCTCCTGAAATGCTTCACAGAGGAGGATTAAAAATTTGGGAAAATAAATAACAAGAAAACCTAAAATCGTTAAATCTCAGTCACAGTTTCTGTTATTAAGACTTAATTTTCAGTATTAAATAAGAGAAAAATGTTTGTAAAAGCTGAAGCAGAAAGAGACACACATGACCTGTATTTAATTTGGCTTAAAGAAGTCATACAGATAAATATTTTGCTCTAAATGTTGTCACGTAAAGAAAAGTGCTAAAGTTTGCTTCGATGGCAAAGTGTCTCGAAGCAGCGTTAACAGGGTTTCTCGAGGTTCCCAAGGCAGGACAAGGTGTCGAGACCATACGTGACGTTCATAAAAAAATAAGAAAAAAGGTTTAATATGCAGTCGATGTTGTAGAGACATTAATTATAAAGATGTAAAGACCCCATGTGGACATCTTCGTTGCTAGAACAGCCCGGTGTAGCCGACGTTCTCCGTGCAGAGTGTTTTAAAGCTTTCCACCGCTGATGAAGGTGAGATTACTGCTCGTGTATGTTTTGCACATCGGTCCGTCGTCCCTGTCCTCCTCATGTCGCCTCATCCCAGTGGGGAGTTGGTGTTTGTGACACGGTGACACAGCCCACACTGAGAGGAACAAAAAGGGAAGGAGGTATAAAGGAGGCAGATGGAGGACAAGGGAAGAAAGAGATGTTCCCGTCACTTATCTCAGCAGTGGTACTGCGTCTCTGTATGTATTTGTCCTTATTCTCCCGTCTCTGCAGACATCTTTCTTTCCCGCGGGTGTCCTTTAAACCTTTTCACCTCCTCAGAAATGAGGAAATGGGAGCCTTTTATGTGCCTTTTTTCTTTCCCTCCCCCTTTCTCAGACACACATTATTAAAACATGATATGAAGATGATTAGGTGTTGTTTGCCTGACTATATAATAGCACCTCTATCTCCTAATTGCATTACATGCACACCTCTCTTCCCCCTCCGACTCACACAAACACACCTTCGTTCACCAAAGGGGGAGGTGCGATGGCGGTGAGGGGGAAGCAGGAAAGGGCAAACGGCGAGATCACACAGAGACTCGGCGTGCGAGGCGCCGGCTCGACGGTCTTTGTGCGCCTGCCGCACCTCTCCCGGCTCTCGTGTTGTTACTTAAACATCGCCGTCGCTGCCTCGCTTCCTCTGCGGCTCACCGCAGGATTCTCACCCTTCCTTCATCTTCACCTTCGCTGTTTCCCTTTTAACAAGTTCTCTTCCTCCCTCAGCATCTCACTGCATTTGCACCTCCGACCCCCGTCCCTCCTTCTGAGGTTTCCACAAGTTTTTTGTTTTGTTTTTTGTTTTTTTTTAAACAATAACAGCTGTTTTTAGACGTTGAAGTTCCCGTGAAGTCAAGTCTGGTAAATGTCAGAAACAATCTTTGACAAACCGTCACCCTGTCACAAGTTTATATAGATTTCCTCCTCTCTATTTTCCCTGCTTTTTTTTCCGCTTATCTGCCCCCCTCTTTTCCCCTCTGTTGTGCCAGCGCACTTTAAAGCAGCCATATTGTTGTTATTATCATTGTCTGTAACTGAATCAGTTACCATTAGACCTGAATCTCTCTCCTTCTGAGGCCCATAGACCAGCTCTCTAACCCAATAGAAAACCCATGGGTGCTGTTACAGATGGCCGAGCCATTCACAACGTGCACTCACACACACACAGATTTCATTCTGAAGATTCATTGGCTTAATCCCATCACACACTCGAACAGCATCACGTGCACACACACACAATGTGCTTTCTCACATCCAAACTTATCAAACCCGGACACACACACACACAAACACTGTTTTCTCGTTGAAAAGCCCTTGTTATTGGAGCTCACTGAGCAAATGGTCATTCTGTTGGGAGATGATGGGACTGAACTGTGTGTGTGTTTATATCTGTGTATGGGTGTGCGCGTGTGTGTCAGGAGGCCGTAACAGCTGTGCGTGTCTGTCATTATGGGGGGATGTATGAGAAGGACTAAGCAAGAGAGGGTAAATGTCATTCTATCAATGAGGTTATCTCTAATAGATGGACAGTTGAAGTCCTGGTTTCCATTTACTCTGCTCTCTGCTGAATCGCTGCGCCTCTCGTTTGAATAATAGCAAGTGATAAATAGCAAGTTTTTTTTCTCTCTTTCTGTCTCTGGCTGGATTATTCTCTGTAGAGTCACATGGACATGAAGGTACACGGTCATTCAATAAACACGTGGTATTTCAGTTTTCTTGTACTGGGCTCCAAATTAGGGTTTGAGTTCTTTTATCATTTATATTATATTAAACCAGAAACTATAATCTTTTAAAAAGTTTACTCCCTTTTTATAGAAGCGTTCGTTTTAGGGCACGGCCGGGTGATATTTGTTATTCCAGAGGGCCATAATAAGTGAGAGAGCTCACTTTGGAGGGCTGAATTGAAGCATGACGCACACAGTACTGAATTATGTTAAACTGCATGAATTTGGAGGACATTGCAGATTATTTCACAATGGGTTATTTGCCGGCCTACAAGGCCTACGCAGCCTGAATAAGAGATGCGGTGGATTTCTATTGAGGGTTAAACTCTTGACAAATAATCCACATTTAGCACATTGAGCTTTGAAAAAATTTGGAAGCACATGAGACTTGAATGTAGTTTTTTTTTTATCTCTCTCTTGGAACATCAAAGGTTTTTCATAACCATGCAATGTGTTTAGAAAAGGAGGGGGGACTGAAATTGGAGAAAGCTTTGTTAAAGTAGCTCAACTTCATTTTAGTTTCACATTTAATCGTATGAAGTATGCAAACAGTTAATTAGCAAGGTTTTGTTTTTTTTTTTTTTTTTGTAATGATTGGCCTCGAGCAGTATTGTCCCCATAAATTTGAAGGATTTTCATATTTACAACAGAAACAGTTATCCTGGTCTTCAGTCCCCCAGTTGGCCGGTGTCCTTTGTAACACCACCCATTTCAAGCTCCGCAGCACCAGTGTGCAACTTGATCTTGTATCTTTATCACCTCCATATTCACCATGACCAGTAATTTCACCTTAAATGTGTATTTGTAAGTTTGACTAAAAGAAACAAACATAATGGTTATTTTGTGTTTTATTCCTGTCCCATTTTTGTGTAGCGGCAGTTATAGATGTAGGCTCGAACCACAGGACCTTTTTAGGTATATTGGTATCGGCACTTATAGCGACTGATACCGATGAAAATTTAAAAATAAATACAATAAGACCCAGAAACACTGGTGTATTTCTCTCTGTTGGAAGGTGATTGGATGCTTTTTTTTATCTTGTTTTTGTGTTATTTGAATTATTTTGTTTCTGTTGACTATGATTCTGGAATAATTAAAGATTTAATCAGTTATCATCAACCATGGTACAAGTGCTGATAATCCATATTTGTCCACAACAACAGGCAGCAAATCTAAGCGGACTCTGGCTGAGTGTAAACAAGCTATTTAATTTCTGACATAAAATAAAAATAAAATAAAATATTGGTTGATGTATCGGATATTTAAATCACCAAATATCAGTATTGGAATTGTTCCTAAAAATCCTGTATTGGTCGGCCTCTAGTGGTGGTTTTAATAACTTTTTAAGGGCAAGTTAACCCATTGTGCTTCTTTTGTTATTGTCTGTGTTTCTGCTCCTGTTTGAGTTGTCCTTGACCTTTGAACTCAGCTATGAGGAGCGCGCCCGATACTTAGAAAATATCGTGCAGAACCACCAGGAGCCAACCACGTTTGAGGATTACGCAGCCCGAGTCTACAGTCCTGCTCCTTGCACTCACCTGCCCTCTGACACAGGTGAGACCACAGCAGCAGCAGCTACACTTGTCAAAAAATGTATGAAATAGGCTATAAATCTGGGTGTTAGCCATAACATGAGATGGTGTTAAAATTAAGGTAAAAAGGAGCCACATGTCCCACATGGTCTCCTGACCCTTTAAAGTGTATGCAAATATTGCATTCCAGTGAATTATCTGGAAACAAGTCCAACATTCAGGGTACCAGAAAAAGTGCAGCACACAGTAATATGTAATATGTCCTGTACTTTTAACGTTTAACTGGTAACTGTGAACGTTAAATCAGAAAATATCCACAGTATTCATGAAACACACTTAAGTTCACGATAAACAACTAATTCTAAACGACCGGGTAAATATTGGTGGAAAAGCCTAATTGGTTTCTTTATTACACCTCATTTGAAAAATAAACAGTTAAACCAAAAACTGCAACTATTCTCAGATAAAGTTCTTTTATTTTAGAGGGGATATATTTGGCACATCAGTAGCTGGACATAGTAGAAGAAATGCACTCTGACTCATTCGCTGAGGATTAAAGTTAGCATTAAATTATGGACCAAATAGTATTCTATTGGTATTCTATTCTAGTCCTTTTGTTTTATGTCCTCTTCTCAAAGGAAAAACAGGTAAATAAAAAGTAAAATGTACAAAAAATATTAAAATCCTATAAAATGGCTAATTTTATTTTTTTTTTAAAAAGAAAAGTACTCCGTTCCAAAGGACTATACAGGAGGCTTGACTTTTTAGTTTCAAGTGTGGCCAAAGAAAACATCAAACGCTGCCCTGTTATAGGGATCGCTGCACTGCTGAGCACTTCACATTTCTACATTGTTCACTTCTAATTAAAAATGTCTTAAAATGGCAGATTTTGATTCTTAAATTGGTGCCTGAGCCCCGACGATAACAGCGTGACATACTCAATAAAAAATCCCACATATTTTGTGTTTGTTGTGTACAGATTGTATTTTGCTGGCACTCATTGTCCAGATTTGATAGGATGAACTTCAGAACACACACACACACACACACACACACACACACACACACACACACACACACACACACACACACACACTATAGCTCACAGCCTGAGTATCTGCTGAGCTCTGTTTTGTATCCAAAGCTGCACTCGGGCCCTTTTTTCTCTCTCTAGAGCTCCTCTGAGGAATTAGCTGACATCTGATCAGCCGTAGAGATGCCAGGCACGCACATGGGACTTAAATATGACTCTCATATGTATCCTGTTTAAGTTTATTAAATCGATACAGATCATTAGTCCTTGCAATTTATCTGCTTAAAATGGTGGTCTGTCCTTTGGCTCCAGTTTAATCTAATTAAAAATTAATTAATTTTTGTAGGTAAGCCGCATATTTTCTTCTTAAAGACTTATAAATGTGTGACCTGAAGGAGCAGAAGTGCGTGGTGTAATCAAATGATGGTTTGTAGGGACACGTGACAGGTGTGACTGTGTGCGTTTGTCTTAATATTTGTATAATTGATGCCTGTTTCCTTTCCTTAGCCACCTGCTCCTCATCTTACCAGCTGCTGTGTCAAAATATTAATAATAATACAACAATAATCAACCTGCTTTGAGGTTAAATAAATCTGGCACAACACCCCTGCCCACCCCACCCACAAATTTTCACTCATTCTTATTAAATGGCATTTAAATGTAACTTATTAAAGGCTCTGTTTTGGTTTGTCATTGGTTGGGCCCCAAATTCCCTTTCAGAGCACAGGATCAGATCCCAGTAATAAAGCCTGCTTGATCTTTAGTCACGATGAGTGTGTCACATCTAAAAATTGTGAATTGAGATGCTGCTTTTGACAAACTTTTGATGATCCCGTGCTCTGAAGTCAACCCAGAGTAATTCACTTCCTGCCCTCCCCCTCCTGTATTTACTCACAGGTTCACCTCTCTTAACAAACGCAATGATCAATCATTCTTCTCTCTGTTCTTATTTTATTTTGTTTTATTTCAATTTTTCCCACCCATTTTATTTTCTTTTTGTCCCCCTCCCCCCCTCCTTTAGATCGTATTGTCTCACTTGCCTATAGCTAAAAAGGTAAGCCTGGTCACATGATTGACACGCCCAGTTCTGACTGGCTCTTCCTAAGGACGTTACAGTCTAGCTTTTACACTCCTGTGATTTCTCCATCTCTCCGTTTCTTCTTCCTCCTGTGTTTTCGACTGTTTAACCAGGTCTGCATGTATTAAGAGCTGCCTTCACTTTAAAAGGAAGCCTCACTTTCAACTTGTGGTTTGGTGTGACTTTTGTTTTATGGATCATTATCAGAGGCAGTAAGAGTGCAAGACACTTGTTTTTATTCTTGAGTGTCAGACACACAAATAAGTCCAGTTTTAATTTATTCTTAAAAACAAAACCATCGCCTGGTTTAAATTTTAAAGTGTCTCTTACTCAGGTTGGTCTCCTTATCTAAGTGCTAGTTGTTTGTCTTTTCCTTGAAGTCCTTTTCTGTCCAAGTAGCAACTTTCTGGGGCTAAAACTAAAACTTTAAGCTGCTTCCAAAAGCTGCAGTCAGTCCCTGCAGACTCCCGTGCTAAAATGCACGCCTTTCCAGCAGGAATGCGCTTGTTCACAGCCTGATCTCCACAAGTAATTTCCCCAGTTAATAATGGTAATTACCCCCACTGGTGACTGGATCTGTATGCTGTTGGTACCTTTTATATAATTGTTAATCATTAAAGTGAAAAATATAAGGGCCTGCTGTGTTATAGTTGAACTAACAGACCATCCAAGCAACCCAAGAAATGGGTTGCATCCATCTTTTGCAACTAACACAGATTTCCTGAGACTTCTGAAAAGGAGGAGTCATTGCAGACCCCCTGAACTGTGGTGTGAGCCCTTGTGAACCCAGTCAGCACACCGTTTGTGCTTTTTATCCACACCATGTTCACCACATGCTATATTCGGTAGATTTCGCTCCCCATAGCTTCTACATCTGAACTTCAGGTTAAAGATTTAACACAGGCAGCTGCAAGTGGTGAGAATGGGACTTCCACAGAGCGATCTACAAATTTTAAAAGTTTTGCCGCAAAGGTGAGTTTCACTCATCACAGGCACAAGAAGACAACCTTAGAGGGAAACATTTTGTCTTCCTCTTGAGATGTCTGACTCACTGGCTGTCGGGATGAAAATAACATCTTGATTTATTAACGTACCCACTCTGCATCCTGATAAATGTTCCTCAAACACAACACGAACCTCATAGCAAATCGCTCTCCGAGGCTGGGTGAAAGTGAGACGTCCTTTTCTCCTGTCTGTCCACTCGATCCATAACTTGGTCGTTCTGTTAACCTCCGATGTCACGCTCACCTGGTGAAACTTGACCTCTAACCTTTTTGTATGCTCCTCTCGCTCTCTCTCTTCCCGGTTGTGATATGATGTAGTGCCATAGTGCTGCTCAAAAATATGCACTCTGACACCCTGTTAAAAGTGGTAAACCAAGCATAGGTTTGCACATGTGCACAAAAGCTGTTTGAATGTTGGACTAACACTGTTTTCTGTGTTTTCAATTGTGCACTTTCAATGTAACAGGGATGGGACAAATTAAGTGAATATGCTCTGTTATATGTGTACTCATTATGAACGTGTACGTATTGTAAATGTGCTTGTGAAGTCTGTCATGTGTGTCTTTCTGCTCCTTTCTGTTACACGTGTGGCTTTTTCTTTTTTCTGTTTTTATTCAGTTTTCTTTTTCTTCTCTCTCCTGAACTGCTCCTCTTCCAATACCTTCTTTATTTCTTTGTCCTTCTCTCTTTCCTCCTTTATCCTCTCCTAACTTCCACTCATTAGAGGAGCATAGTGCAATGTATCTGATGGTCCCGAAACCACTAGACAGCTTTAACCAGCTCAGGGTTAAAGGGAAAGGTCTTAAGCAGAAGGTTCTTCATGCTAGCTGTGAATGGTATGCACTAGAGATGGTGAATAAATTGTGAACTTTAAATTGCACTTTAAAATACTTTAAATTACAGGACAGTCTGTGCAGGGAGTTACCAGAAGTTTCTCTGCAATTTTAAACATTTATTTTTTGCAGTTTTAGCCCAGATGTCGTTCTGTTGGAACATTTCTTTATTATGTAGTAAACCTGAGACCTACTATTTAATTTGCACTTCTGTTTCTTGTATTAAGATGTCTCAGGGACTGAATGTTTATCTAAATGTCTTTCCACTGACACAACGGTGAGTTTCACTCGTCCAGCCCACTTAACATCAAAGTGAGCCGTACGTGAAATGAGTTTGGCAGCCTTGCTTTAAACTGTATCATCCAAAGCTATCCTGATAGAGGTGGTACCTGTTCTATAAGAGGTTCAGCTGCAAAGCAGGAAAAACTTCAAAATGTCTTTGTAGTCACTGGTAAAGGGTTAGTATGTCCTATCAGTGAGGCTTAGTCTAGCTCAGATTCACTTAATTTTGGTTGGTTTAAATAATTACTTTTCTGTTTCACATTAAGTATAGGTCATGCACATGTCTAGTGGTTTTGGGGAACCTTTAACTTAAGGAAATAGAGCTTTATCGGGTTCCTGTCTCTAGCTGTGTGTCTGTGTGTCCGTTTATCTGACTGTCCTGCTTCTGTGACTGTAGGAATCTGTGCAGTGTGGCTTCGTAGATCACAGTGGGCTGAAATATAATTTTATTGTTGTCCCTTCATCCTTTTTCTCCTTATTTACCTCCACCCCCTCACCTCGCCTGTCTTCCCCTCAAACCCCCCTTCTCCTCCTCTTCAGGCTCCTGCCTAGAGATTCTTCGGGGAGAAAGTCCGGCTCTTGGGGAGGCCGGGAGCGACACGGCGTCCCCCATGTCTCCTCGGACTAGCAAGAGCCGCATGTCCATGAAGCTGCGACGCTCCTCCGGATCAGCCAATAAGACCTGAAATCCCCAAACTGCAGGACTCAGCCAGAACTCACACTTGATATCACATTAGGAAACAAAAAGCTTTCATATCAGCCAATCGGAGGTATCAGGATCCTCAAAAATAAGCCATTTTAAATTGGTCCGTTTACAAAGCACACAAAATTAGGTATGTAAGCAAATTAATATAAACTCTTGAGTAGGCGCTGATTCATCCCAGCATGTTGCATTTCTGGTTGGACCCTGGGCTTTAATGGGCACACGTGTTCTCTTGTACTAAATATATATAAAAGTATTCTATGGGCAATACTGTAAGTTTTATTTTGAAAAATACTCACAGATGCTGCTCTGTATATCTACAGCTTTGCTTGGGGGGGTGAAAAAACAAAAAAACAAAAAACCACACACACACACACACACACAGAGACAAGTCAAACCAGTGTTGCAGCATGTTGAGTAGTAAAATTAGCAGTGCAGTATTAGTTCATAACAGCCTGTGCCATGTTAGAAAGTGCACACAATGCCAGTCGGTGTGAGCAGGACTGCAAAGAAGAAGAAAAGTGTCCTTTAAGGAATCTGTATATTTGTACTATAGGGTGTGTGTGTGTGTGTGTGTGTGCGCGCGTGCGTGCGTGTTGGGGGGAGCAGAGGCGGGAGTGGAGGCTGTAAAGAAAGCGATAAGTCTATTTTCTTTTTCTTTCTTTTTTTGTGCGCAGCACAGACCTGAAATGATAAAGAAAGTTAGTTTCTCAAGCCAAAAAAAAAAACCGTTCTCCGTGTTTGAATCCAGAATAAAAGTCTGAACTTCCTCTGATGATCATTAACAGGACCGACCGATGGAAGAGGAGGCACTTGCATATATCATTTTGTTTTCTTCTGATGCTGTAAAACGAGCACTGATATTAATATTAACATGTTGGGGTTTTTTCTTTTAATTGACTGTAAACTGAGTTTTGACCCGAACAGGAATGTTACTGTATTTTTAGTCAGTCCTTGATCTGAGGCAAAGAACCACAGCTTTTTCTTTCTTTGTTCCTTCGAGTATATGTTGTATATCTATATGAGTATAAATATATATATACATACATAGTAGATATATGAATATCTATAAGAATGTGTACAGTGTAAGGAAGCTTGTTGTGCTTGTGTAAATACGGTTATAGCTGCCAAAGCCAAACTGTGGTTGAAATCCAAACCACAGACTTGCTAGAAAACAAAACAAAAAGTAGGTTAGCGCTACAAGATTTCAAGCTTTCATAACCAGCTTGTTCTTCATCGTCCAGGAATTTAAATTCATTCTACGTTGTTCTTCCCGTGATGGAGCTTGTAAATCTGTATGGAGGGAATCATCATTCTCATGAATTACTGTAAAAGGCTGGTGGGTGGGGGGAAAGGGGACTGGTATTTAAAACACACTTGAGCGTGTTGGGATCTGGGTCCACAAAAGTCCACTAAGAGTTGGTTTAGTGCTTCATTTTCAGTGTTTTGTAGGCAGATTTCAGGGTTGGGGGGGGGAAAAAAAAATACAAAAATGAGAGAATCACCACCAAAGAAGGGGAAGAAAAAGAGGTGTCATTGAGGGAGGGGGCATCAGCATGCAGTCGCAACACTACCACTTTTTTTTTTTTTATGTATTTAACATTTTCAGTTTCTCTTTCTGTGAGTTTAGAGGAAAAAAGGTTAAACGAACGCTCTTCCCGTGTCTGTTACTGGTGAAAGTTTTGTTACTGTTTGTTTCAGCCATATACTTTATAGATTAAAGGGATTGTGTAACAATTTTCTTTTATTTCAAACTTAATATTTAAAAAGGAGATCAGATTCATGTGCACTTACTTGAAGTCAGCTGAGGTTTGAGTCTTCCCTTTAAATTATTTACTCTTGTTACTTTTGTCACTGAGGTCAAAGCACCATTGAATGGTTGAGAGGCCCCACTGCACCCTGATCTCTACATGCTGCGTGTATATATATGTGTGTATGTATACTAGAGGTCACCGAGCCTGCTCAGTTCACACCCCAAACTCCGTCCCAGCACCGAAACCACACGACGGCACCATGTTTACGCGCCCTAGTGGATTAGCGTTCAGATGCTGCTTTAAAGATCCACGGGTTGTACATACTGTTCTTTTTTTGTCCCCTACAACGAGTTTCCACCCAAAGAGCATGAATAAGTCATATCGGCATCACTCTTCATCTGAAGAGGAGAAACAGTGTAAATCCCCCACCTAATGGATACTACTGATTACACACACTGCATGCTTTGACTGCGCACACACTCCACAAACTGTCAACTGTGTGAACATGTGTTAACGCCGGCCACACGGCAAGCGTATGGATGTGCCACGATGGAGTTTGACAATAAAACAATTCGTACCAGTAACTGCCAGAGTTGTGTGGTTAATCAGCTTCAAAACAATAACAGCAGCAGGCTGACAGCGCAGTGTTGATTGGACTCTACTCACATTTATTCACAATTGTGTCATTAGTTTCACATTCAGCCATATCAAAATAGGACCGTACAGTCTTCATAGAACCACACGTTACATTTTTAGCATCATAAAGGCATTTAGCAAATATCTCAGCATGAATAATCAAAGACAAAAGACCTTTTTTTAATAGCAGTATAACATTAACTTTCATTTCTGTATGAAAATATTTTATAGCTGAGAAATTAATGATTGTTTTCTCTTTACTCTTATTCATTGATCTCTGTACATTTGTGGTTTGAAAATTTAGTTTTTTAGGATGAGAAGGAGGAAGATCACCCAATATGGTTACACTCCTAAGCTTTAGTGAACATAAAAACAAATGCCAAGTTCAAAATGACTGGCTGTTGGGCCCGTTTTACTCACTCTGGTGGTGGCATTAATGAGCTTTAGTGCCAGGTTATTTGCAAGAGAAGCTGAACTGTAAGTAATAAGAAGAAATAATTTAATCGGTTAACATTATTCTGGATTATTTGTTTTGTCCGGTAACTTAAAATATCCCCTTTTCCCTTTAAGGAAAAGCGAGCTAGGATGGTTGTGTAGAAGCCAGTTTCCAGGCAGGGCTTCAGCACCTTGGACAGTTACAGGTCATCTTCAGCATCTTTTTCTCACTCAGGGTGTAGCATATAGTCCAAATATACTACAGCAGAACTATAAATGTGTTATTTAAGCACCCAGAGAAGAAACAATCAGAGGTTTGTGGTAGATTGATAGCTTTATGGGAGAAAAAAAATGACATTTTGAGATGTTATTTTATCAGATTTTAGTATCTACGAGCAGTTTTTGTGTCCAGGTGACCATTAAAATTAATTCAATATTTTAAAATAAGTGCCCGGAGGTGTTACCAAGATGGCTACCGAGTGGCGAGACTTGCTTCTGAAAGGACTTCTTGATAAATAAACTTTTTTCCCCTCTTTTCCAAACCACAGTTTTGCGCGCGACTCACGGCCGCACGGTCATCTGCAGCAGCATCACCTGCCGGTTCTCGGTGGGGTGAGACTTGTTGATGTGTCTCGTGAGTCCCGGGGAGCTGAAGAAAGTGGAGGGGCAGTGTTTGCACGTGAAGATCTGTTGCTGCTCCTGCTGCTGGTGGTGGTCGCACTCCCCGCCACCGCTCTCCTCTCTGTGCGCGTGGAAAACGTCCCCTCTGCGTCCTCCTCCCAGAGTCTCCGCCATCAGCTCGTCCCTCATCGCGTGCCACAGCCGGTGCTTGTCCCTGATTTCGACCGACGGGAAGCGCGCGCCGCACAGGTGACAAAGGCACACCTGGCTCTGTCCGGAACTGGGCTCGCGCGCTTGGCCGTAAGATGCAGCGGGGGGAGACGCTCGCGATGTCATCTCGTGCGCGGCCAGGTGTTTCTTCAGGTAAGCCTGCCGCCGGAACTTCTTCCCACAATACCGGCACTCGTACACCTCCTCCGGTAACGACTGAACAAACGGCAGAGGCGGAAGCTGCTGCTGGGGCAGGTCCGCGCGCTCCTCTGGGTTCAGCACGAGGAGACTGGACGGCGGGCTGTCCGCGGCTCTCACCTGCGGCTGCAGGTCCAGGCAGCTCTCGGCCGGGTTCCGGTAACGCGAAGAGGAGTCGTAGTGGGGAGGCGCGAGGCCGTCGCCGTCCGGGCTGTCCCGGGACCGCGCGTGGAGCAGTAGCAGCGACTGCTCGCGCCTCATGCGGGAGCTGTCCAGCGCCGCGTGGTGCTGATTGGTATTCACGCGCAGCAGCTCGTTCTCCTTGCCCTCCAACTCCACCGGCGGCCTCTCGTGCTGAGCGAGCCCTCGTGCCTCTTTGAGCGAAAGGTTCTTGTTGGGGGTCGGGGTCTCACCTGCCGGGCTGCTCACCGGGCGCGGCTTGTGCCAGCGGCGGTGAGAGGCCAAGTTGGCCGGGCAGCTGAAGACCTTGTCGCACTCGGGGCACCGGTACTCCACACGCACTATGCGGGAGCACTTGTGCTGCGCAAGGGAGAAGGGGTCGGGGTACTCCTCTTTGCACAGCTGGCAGATGAACTCCCCCAGCGGCTGATTCCCGCCGGGGCCGGACGACTTCTCCCGGTGCCTCCGCAGCTCGGGGCTCTCCTTCTTGATGCGCAGACCCAGAACCGGGGAGGTCGTGACCTCGTCCTCGAAGTTCAGCTTCCGGTTCACTTTGGGTTTTTTCGTGGGGTTGCTGCACGCAGACTGTTTACTGTGTCTGCTGCTGCTCGGCTCGAGGAACGAGCGTTTTCTCGCCGCTTCCTGGCTCATCACGGTGAGATGCGGGAACAGGTGCACGTGGGGAGGGTCATACTTGTCACCGTGACCGTAGGACGGCGCGTGGTGGCGGCTGCTGCTCGCGAGGATCCTCTCGATGGAGGCGGACACCGAGGTCGGCGTGGAGCTGACCAGGAACGGCAGTTCCGGCAGGTCGGGTACTGGGGAGGACGGCAGACACCTGCCCGTGAACAGCAGCTGTTTTTCTCCTTCCTCGCGCTGCTCAAGAAGTCTCGTGCCAACCGGTTTAACGGGGCTGCAGGAGTCGGTGAGTGGCGGAGGCGGCGGCGGGAAGAAGCAAGAGAAGTCACCGTCGGGGCTCAAAGCGTCCAACTCGCTCTCAGGTAACTGCGCGCGCCGGTCCGCCTCTGCCTCCAGAGCGGACTCCACGTGCGGGCTCCACGCCTCCCTGACACCAGCGGAGTCCTCGCGGGACACTGGGAACTCTCCGTCCTGCCGCTGAAACGGGAAAACACTGAGCACGTGGCTCTCTGCTCCGGTCGCTTCACAGCTGTACCCCCCGCCGCCGCCGTTCCGGTCACCCTCCGGGTTGTTGTTGTTGCTCCGTGACCGGTATGACGCCGAGCCTCGCCGGTGTCTCTTTACCAAGAATCCTCGAGGCATTGTGGCGATGACAGCGCGTGGCACAAGCACAGCGGAAAGGACAACAACTCTTGTCTCGAGCCCACTTTCAAGTAGAGCTTTGAAGTGGCGGAAAGAGAGAGAGAGAGGGGGGCGCGCGCAGGTATGATGAGTGAACGAGAGAGAGAGAGAGCAGCCTATCCGCGTTAACATTTTTTTCCATCCAGCCTCACGGACACCGATAGCTTTGACTGAATGCTGAAATTCAACATTAGACTAAAAATTATAAAAGCACAACAGCGAAGAAAAAATAGTGCCAGGCAGGGGCGTGTCCAGGTGGAGGTGGCACCTGCCCCATGAGGCATGATTTTAAGTACTTTAAATGTTTTTTATGCTAAAATTTCTGTAGCCTACTATAACTTAAGTAGAGTCCAAGTATGGTTAAGTGCTAAAGTGTGTTTAACCTTCAGGTGTTGAATATATTTATCTGCGCTGCTTAGTTTTAATCATAAATGTTTCCTGCCACAAAATTTCCAGTAAAACGGTTTTGATTACTGATTTAAATTGTAGTAATTTTTTTTAAAACAGCAGTAAACCAAATTACTCTAAACTGAAAGCTCTAATTGAATCTTATTGTTTTGTTTCCATAAACAGTCACAAAATAATAAACAAATCCATCCACAATTAAAACAATCATTGGCTGCAGCTCTGTAGAAAGCAATCTCCTTATTAGTTTTTTATCCTCTGGAGTGGATATATATGCATGTTTTTGTTTTAAAATATAGGCTTTGATTTTTATTGTAATTCCTGTGTAACTGTTTCATAATTAGGTATCAGTAATTGGGATATTTTGAGTGGTTTTGCACAAATATTTGAAGTATTACTTGTCTTCAAACAAGATGTTTACTCAGATTTTCTTCAGACTTCTGTTTCAAAGTAAAAACAGCCCAACCATGATGACTTCACTCTAAGTAGTTATTGATTAAAACATTACGACGTCACCACTTCATCTATAATTTGGTACTGATGATACTGTAATAAATAATTAATATAAACCTACTTTCAGTTGTATTTATTTTTTGCAGTATCAATTGTGTTTTTAACTCTTTGCATAAACAACATATATAATGATAAAAGAATGTTTTATAGGTAACAGAACAGGTATGATAGACAGAAAAAAAGTATTTCTGTATAAATTTTA